TTTTTACGTATGTCAACTTTGATTGGCCACAACTCTCATTTATATTATTTTATTGATTTAACATACGAAAGCTTTCTTTTTCTAAAATTTTGGAAATAATAAAAAATGTATTTGTGGTTTCTGAACAAATCCTAAATTTGAGAGGTCTTTAGCAAAAAATCTAGTCTTGATTGCCAGAATTTGATCTGTATTCACCAGAAACTTCTTAACATCTGAAAATCTGAAGACTCTAGCACAAGAGATATGGACATCTGAAAGAGGCATCTCCCTCAATTTCCAGTTCAAAAGAGATTTATTAAAAATTTCTCTTCTAAAACTATGGAAATGTTGGATTTTCAGCAGATTCCAGATGCCAAAGATCATTCCTACAAAGTTTCAACAGATTCTGCGAAGCTCAATCTACCACCTTTGCTGAGTTGACACAAAATTACCCCTTTTTGTAAATAAATGAGTTGCAACGTCATCAATTATTCATGAAGTCTAACATCTGATCATGTGCACAGTTATAGCTGACTAATGTATGGAAAGTTTCCATCATAGGAAAAGTGAGCCACAACTTAACTGCGTCCGAGTATCAAAGTTGCTGTAATAAAACAAAGAGTTTAATCTCATTAAAGCCACAACGGAATGTGGACTTTTGACCGTGTTCATCTGGTGGGAGGAATTTCTGCCAACTGCAGCTTTAAGTATTGTTTTGATTCGAAGCAATAGTTTGACATTTTCACAGTTACATTAAGAGAATGATCCTACATTCATGTGTGCATGTTAAATACGAAGCCAGCGTGCAGTTAGCTTGGACACTGACAAAGACTGAAACCAGGCAAGAAGAGCTCGACTTTGTCCAACGTTTGAGTAAAACATATCCGACAGCCGGCACCTCTAAACTCCACTAATTAACACGTTTTATCTTGTTAGTTTAATCTGTTTAATGTTAGTGAAAGCTACAATTATACAGGCGGCAGACTATTTTTGGCTGGGAAAAGTTTCTTCCTGGAGTTTTTGCATGGATTAAACACAGGATAAAATGTTAATTAGTAAGATTTAGGCAGACTTTGTGGCTTCAGACTGAGCCAGGTGGAACACTTCAGGCAACGATATTAAAAGATGTGTAAGATGTGACATTTTCTTTACCAAAGTGTGTTAAGTTTTCTCTAAATCCGTCTTTCCCTTCGGCACAGGTTCCCTCCCGTCCTCATCGGATCAATGTTATTCATGACCACCTGCTCAGATTGGCTGGAGGAGTGCCTGCAGGTTCACCTCTAGCCAATCAGAATACTAACCAACAAACGCTGCAAATGTCCTTATGACACATCTCCACCACCAGTAAAGGCTGCACTGGGAGAATAGAAACTGGACTTTGATCTTGAACAGCAACAGTTGACCCTTCAGCAGGATGTTTCAGAGTGAGAAGGACATGTTGAAGTTAACATAACTAACTTATCACGGTGATGGCGGCGCGCATAGACGCAGCGGCCACTTAAGGAGACAACGAAAGTGAACGCTTCGAGTGTCTTGTCTATCCCAGATGTTCAGTCCGCGGAACTTGTGGCCGGGAGACTTTGCTGGGTGTCAGGACAGTGAACGGTGCTGGAATTGTGACGATCGGTTGTGATTTGGACATTCTACACCAACACGGAGTCCGATCGGAGACTACACCGGCAGTTACCCGAGAGAGAAGGAAGCACAAACGGTGGGAACGGAAACAAAGGAGGGGGAAGAGAGACGGGATCCATGGTAAAGGCTAACCCCTCCAGACCAGCAGGACCGTCCTCCTATTGTCCAATGTCCGCCCCCTCGACAACAAGCTGGACGAACTACGTTTGCTGAGAGAAACCTGCAAAGAGTGGAAAGACTGCTGTGTGTTTGCTTTAACAGAAACATGGCTCCATGACAACATCCCAGACAGCCATACAGCTGGAGGGGACGACATTATTCCAGATGGACAGACAGGCAGGTAGCTCTGGGCAGCATCTGCGGCTTCACCATCGTCACACCATCATGTGTGTCTTTGTGTCCCTGAAGATCTACCAGGACCTGAAGAGGTTCACCATGTTCAACGAATGGCAGCACACATGGATGCAGCAGCTCCTTCAGGAGGCAGTGACAGTGAACGTTTGGTGTCTTAACCCAGACGTGCATTCCACAAAACTTGCTGGTTAAATAATCCTGAAGAAATGCTCTCTCATCTTGCCTGTACTACTGTGTGTGTACAGCAAAATGACAATAAACTTGATTTGATTTGATTTTAATTTAATTATCTTTAGAGAAGACTGTCTCCAAAAATGGATTTGAACTTTTTCCCGGCGTGATGTTTTGTCCTCTATGAGGCTAGTTAAGGACATTTTAGCTGCTTAAACATTCCAAGTACAGAAGTTACACCTGCGCTCAGTGTAGTGCTGATGGGATGAGGCTAAAGCTTCTTAACATTTTAAATTTTATTTTCTGGTGTGATGAAGCAACAGGTACCCCCCTCAAAAGTCTTGAGGCTGAGATTTCAAAATCTTCAATAACTTAGAAGGACAAAGGAGATAGAATTTAGTAGTTTAACAGCACATGAGGGAGCCTAACACCAGCCTAATCCATCACACATTTCCTTTATTTTCTTTTTCTGTATTTCATGCAGTTTAGTGTTTTTCAAAGTTTTTGAGTAGTTAAAGCTTGTTTAAAGAATAATCTCCATTTCTGGCAGAGCTGAACTACACAGTAAAAGAATTAAAGCATAATACTAATTAACTGTTATTTTTTTGTTCAAATTACAGATATTATACAGTAAAATCACAGAAGAAAAAAAAATCATTGACATGTTAACCAATAAAGAAACATCTTGTCAATTTTGTAAAAACAAACAAAAACAAAAAAGCGTCCACATTAAAAATCTATTAAAAAGAAGAAAAAAAAGTTACTTCATTATTTTACATTTGACCATGAAATGAAACTTTTTTGTTTTTTTTACTGTAATTAAATCAGCAAATTGAAAAAAAAATAGAGGGGAAAAAAGAATTTTAACTGATGTTTTACAGTTGGTAAATTACAGATAGTATCTAGTAAAAACACACCAAAAAGGTGTATCAAATTACATGATGACTCAATAGAAAATATGAAAAAATGGTCAAAACTGCACACAATGTGCAAACCAAATGCCAATTTTTAGTTATTTATTTTAAATTTTTTTACAAATGAAATGTGAAGCTATAAAATAACACTGTTATTGTAATTAAATCAACTAAAAAAAATATAACTATTTTGCTATTATTCTTACAGCTTTTACAGTTTTGGAAACTCACAGCATTCCACCAATTTTTAACATGTTTTTTTCCTAGCACCCTTGCTATTTTACTTGTTTTTTTAAAACTATTTTTTGCAGTGTATGCAGAAAGCATGTACTCTTGTTTTCAGATGAAACTATTTCTAGGTAGCCAGGCTAGAGACAGAAAACGTCAATAAAATGACCATTTTTATGATCAAGTTGATGATGGGCTACTGGACAGAATCACAGAAAAGAAATCCTTTAAACAGTCTCTTAAAGTTTTCCTTTTCTTTCAACAATTCAGAGAATATTAGAATATTAAAAAAAGCTGTCCAGCCAACAGATTTTGTTTTTAGATTAAATTAAATGTTGTCACGCAACACAATGATTTTGATATAAAAAAAAATAAAATAAAATAAAAAAAAAAGTTCTGTATTCTCATCATTCTTCTGTTGAGGTTTGAGCTTCAGCAAAACCAGATTTAAGGACAATAACATTTGTGGACACTGACTATTTTATCATAATCAGAAGTCTGCCCAAGGTCTGTTTTTGCTTTGGTCCGTCAGTCCAGAGAAATTACTAAAGTTCCTTTTGTTTAGATATGAGTCAAAGAAAATTAGTAGAATAACTCGTAGAAGATTCATGGCCAAATAAAGCTCTTGTGTCCTTGCATACTTGAACATTAATGTGCAGATGGTTGAAACTGCACCTTTACTGAATTGTAAAATCTGAACAGTTTGATGAGGGCGTGTATTAAAACCATTTTCTTCTGCTTATGTTGAAAGGGTTAAGATTTAATGAAGAAGAATGAAGCGGGACAAACAGATAAAGATCTGCATCTAGCTCACGGTTCACAGTCACAACTTCACTGGTATCGCGACACAATCTAGCGCACACACCCGATCGTCCTGAACTCCACCACCTCAGCCCAGCCGACCCAGCACCCGCTGACCTCCTCAACCTCCTCGAGCTTTAACTGCAGCTTTGAAAACACACGACCCACCCGCGGCAGGTCATTGTGATTTATGTTGCGCATTATTTATTTATATGCATCGACGACAACGTCTGAAATGACGCAAATGTTCTATATTTATTGTGTTATTTACGCGTGCGGCAGATGTTGCGAGCCCTTGTCGACGGATTAAACCTTCGAGTGACACCCCGAGATATCCGACCAGATTAAGCCATATGTTTGATATTGAATCAAAACCGATACCTATATGAGCCGTGTGAGTGTTTGTGCCTTTAGGCTGCCATTGAACTCAGCCACCTCTTACACATCTATGAATCTTTCTGGTTCACAAGATGCCCTCTGGGGGGAAAGGTTGGAGCAGACGGTCAAGGGTTGGGATGTCGGAAATCTGAGAATGTATGAATTCTAGTGTCTGCTGCTATTAAAAAACAGAGGTGAACTCTTTTTATGTCTTTATTTGAGTAAAACACCCAATACAACCTTGTAAAACTGCATCATCAGAATATGCTAAACTGGTTCACGTGTGGCATTAATGGACTATTTGTTTGATCCGTTTGATGAGCAAGCAGCATTTTACTAACTTGAGCCAACACTCGCTGGTCATTTCTAAATATGACTCTTACTCACAACATGACAGATGCATAAAACTATTTCCTTGGCATTTATTCTGACTCATGGAATAAAACAGATGATTAAAAAAAAAAAAAAAATGCTAGCGTGTGCGTTGTGATTCATTCCTTTGCACTAAAACGCTGCAGGAAGCAAAACATAAGCACAGAATGCGAGAGAGAAATTTATTTACAACGTATACAGAAATGCACACGACAGAGTAGCTGCAGTCATGATCCATTTTCATGTAATCCAAGCCTGAGCAACGTGTTTTGATTTGCGATGTCAGTGACAAAATATGTGTTTTTCTTTTGTTTAGATGTGGCGTAACTGGATTACACTGACAAGCACTTTTAAAAACAAGCACTCACAACTCTGGTACACATTTTGACATGTGGTTTATGTTTCTATCACCACAATAGAGATTGTCGCAGACATCATTTTCTCATTCATGCATAGTTACATAACCAATAATTGACTGCCAGCATCTGTTCTGAGAATCCAATCGTCCTCTGTGCTGTTTCTGTGCATCTGAAAGGGCAAAAATACAAACCTATGTCTAAATATCCTTTGATTGTTGACTGGCCAAGTGCTGTGATTGAATAGACGTGGACAACTCTGCTCTGATTAAAATTCTTGCTTTTATAGAAGTACTGTCAGCAAAATGTGCTCATGTTATCTGAAGGCAAAGGCCAATCAATGATAGTTTTGCATACTCAGAGAAAGGTATGCAATATTATTATTGATTAGGTAACATGTACACAGCGTTACAGCAGCACAGGCTGAAGTGGAACAGACTGTAACTACCTACCACATGTACTGTTGGACACATTAATCCACAATAGCGCATCACATACAATACATATGTTGGGATTTGATTATATGTTTTAATGTAAAATATACATCTGACAAATAACTAGTTACAAAATTTGACAAACAAATGTACAAACATAAGGTAGCATGAAATTGACATACAGGTGCCTCAACATTGCATGTAAATATAACGCCTATGTGAATCGAGTTGCTTTCCACAAGTGAAATCCTAACCTCAGACACATGTTCATAACAGAGGGGAAAGATGATTCCCAACTAAACCCACTGAATTAGTAAATGAAAGAAAGAGTGTAACTGTTACAAGAAAATCTCCTCAGTTCTGGGAATTCTTGTGTTTTACCGAAATTGATGGATTATCTGCTATGCAGATTTACAAAATCCATTCAAATCACGTTGGATAACATCAAAATCAAAGTCATCAAGAAAGAAAGAAAGAAAAAAAACGCTCTGGAGATCCAGGGTTTTCAACCACATGTGGTGTGAAGCAGATATTTACAGAGTGACTGACAATATATAAGCAATAAAAGAACACATGCTGGTATTTTTCCACATAGGAATAATATACAGTTCATGAAGCAAGCAGATGCATACAAATACACCTGGTAATACGCTTAAGTGCCTTTCTTTCATACATCACTATCAAACAGAATACAAGCCCAAGACACACTCAGTTCCCACGTGAGAAGGCCTGTACACACGAATATGCAAGAACACGTACATGGCCACCCGAGCACAAACACACTCATCCGATGCCCTCGTACACTTAAAGCCACTAGGACATAATCCAGCTGTGGGAGTTGTGGATACGCTGTTTGCCGAGTGTGCATGTGCATGTACGTGTTTGCGCTTGTGTTCAGCCAAAGGCATGTGGCCCCTGTTATTCTGTTTACACTCCACCTGTCCACACTTCATCCCTCTTGTGTCGCATTTTATTAGTTCTGCTGAAAAGAAGTACAACAGGAGATGCACTGGAGCACGTCGCCTTGTGGGTCTGAGTTCCTAGAAGTCGAATTATACAACAGGTCTGAGTCAGACAGAGCAGGAGGTGGACTATTTCCCGATCGAGACCTGGTATTGAAATGCAGAAATGGTGACAAGAATCAGAAAAATCTAATTAAATTGTGATGTTTGAAGACTATTTTTTGTGACTCTTTTGCCTTTCTTATGCTGGGAAAGAAGCTTTGCAAAAGACGTGATGGGAAATTCCACTTTTTCATTTCACAAAGGACACAGTACACCTTTCAGCTTAGCAGAAAGATTCCCAGTCAGTATTCAAAACCTGAACTGTGTGGTCAACAGAAGTGTGTTGTAAAGCCCAGTCTTTGTAGATACTTGATCAAACAACAGCATCTGAGGCAGGAGTGAACATTTAAACAGTAAGACATCAAATCTGTTTATCTAAGGCACAACAAACTTCAACGAAAATATGTACAACTTTATTCTTTGAGGAAAACAATGCAGCTTCAATACATTCCAAGTTAAGCCAAATCTGAATTTATCACATATCTACAAACCATCAAGTGAGTAAATAGGTTTTAAAAAGTTCAAAAATATCATGCAGTGCATCATGACAGGCAATGGTGTAACATGGTGACTCAGTCTATTTCCTCCCCTTTAGGCCAGAATGGTGACATCCCGCACAACTGTATCGCTTAGGTCATACCGTTCAGTGTTGCACTGCATGCTGGGAGATGACTTGGCGACGGGGCAGAGCAGGGTGCGGAAGTGCCTCCTGAAGGTGTCAGAGAGACAGGCGTAGAGGATGGGGTTAGCGCAGCTCCACGAGTACGACAACAGCACCACAAACTCAAAAGCCCTGGCGAAGGTCAGGACCAAGCCGCTTTGATACAGGGAGCAGAAGTTGAAGGTGTAAAACGGAAGCCAGCACATCCCGAACACCACCACCACCGCCACCACCATTTTGGTGACCTGTCGCTCCAGCCGGTGACTCTCTTGGTTTGGCGTCGAGGTTCTGAGTCGCTGGGACCGCAGGGTGACCAACAGCGCCGTGTAGGAAGCCGTCATGACCATGAAGGGCAAAGCGAAGCCCATGACGAAGGTGTAAGAAAGGACGCCGAGCCACCAGGCGTCTGAGACAAAGTCAGGTAAGCACAGGCCTCCACTGGCTGAGAAGTGAAGCGCCATGGGGAGAATGGTGAGGAGGGAGAACAGCCACAGGAACGCCGACACGATCTTGGCACAACGCGGCGTCCTAAAACGGGCAAACCGAAGAGGCTCGGCCAGCGCCATGTAGCGGTCGATGCTCATCACCGTCAGACAGAAGACACTGGTAAACTGGTTGATGCCATCTAGCACCATGACCGCTTTGCAGGCGATGTCGCCAAACATCCAGTGGTTCTGGAAGTTCTGGCTCGCAATGAAGGGCAGACCGACCATGAAAAGTCCGTCGGCTACCGCCAGGTTGAAGATGTATACCGTTGTGGAAGATGACATTTTGTCCAGTTTTAAAATGGCGACGATGACAAGTGAGTTCCCAGCGAGCCCCACAATGCAAACCAGCAGGTAGAGAATGGCCATGGTGATGCCAAAACCATCAATGTTGTCCTCAAAGTAAAAATGTCCATCCATGTAGGTGTGATTGTAGTCTGTATCTAATAAAAATGAGCCGTCCATTCTGTCTCGGCTCTTCCGAAGAGTGATCAAACAAAAGAATAAAAACACAAGATGACAGCCAGAAGAGTGGCAGCTCAGAGGGGAGAAAGTCTCTGCTACTGTTCAAATTCCTCTGCAGGCAGCTCGAGAGTCACCTCTTGACTCCCCGTCATGGAGGTAAAAAGTACTCAGAGGGAGACGAGTAAACAACTCAAGCGAGAAACCTGGAAATCAAACAGGGTTTAAGAACAGGCAGGCTTCAGCAGCTCGTCAACTCCCCCCATCCAGTCAATCGTCGCTGTCTTTTATCTTCTGAAAAAAAAGAACAGTAAAAGTTTATTCCTTTGTGGTGGAGACAGCACGCTTCTCTCTGATGCCCATGTGCACTTTCTCTCTCACACACTGGCATTAAAAACAGTGTCGGTGCCGCACAGCAGCGTGGAACAGAGCAGGACAGCAGCTCGGACGCTTGCCTGGCCGCTTCTTTCTCCCTGGGAGCCCTTTTTATATCTCTTCCCCCCTCAGTGTGTGAGGAGTGTGTCTACTGCTGCTGCTGCTGCTGCTGTGTGTGGGACTCCCCCCCTACGCCCCCCATCCTCCCCTTGTTCATCAGTCTCCAAAGATTGTGATAAACTCCAGCTTGGCTCACGCCCCTCCTGAACGCTCCCCCAGTTCCTCTGCTGTAATGGTGTTTCCAAGGTAAACCCCTGGCCCCATCTGCTACAATACTTTTGTTTTCATAACTCTTTCTCTCCAGTCTTTCTTCTCTACCCTCCATTTCTGTTTACCCCCCGCACCCAGCCCCTCTGCCCCTCTACCATCCATTTTGTCTGACCACACTCCACCCTCTGGGCTCCCCTCCTTTTCAGCCTCCTGTGCTCCTTCACAGTTCAGTGGGGGGTCATACAACCAAACCTAAACACACACAGATAATAACACTATCTCATCACTCGGGCCACCCACCTTTACAACCCAGACTGAGTAAATCTGCCGACAGGAAAGAGAAGTCCACTGTCTGTTTTCTCAGGGCTTTTGTTTTGTGACATTTGACATGGGATGCTGTATTTTTTTTTTTTTTCTTCTGCGACTCCTTCCTTCCATCCTCCTCCAACCCCTTCCACCTTGTTTTTCTTACCACACAAAAGAAGGAGGGAAAAGGTGTGTAGATAAAAGAGGAGAGGAAGGGAAGAAAAAGATGGAGGAGAAGGGGGTGGGGGTGGCGAAGACCGTGGATGAGCGATGACCTCCGTCCTGTTGCCGCTCCGACACGCATTGCTGGAATACCCCGGGAACGTCTCCCTGGAAAATCCTGCAGCACGTTCCGCCACCTACCATCGACGCTGAAAGCAAACCTCAATCAAAAGTAGCTAATTTCTCACTTCATCATTCTCTAATTTCAAAGACGCTTAACACGTTTGTCTACCAGCTCATTCATCAGATGCCACAGATTTCCTCAGAGATTTCTCAAGACATACCGTCTCTTTCTGGCTTTTAACTGGTTCCAATTAACTGGAGAAAAATGCCTTTGTAGTCTACACTCCTGATTAGGTTGTGGTTTAACTTCCCCCCAGGGACTGGCACTTCATATGACGGAGCCCACCTCTACACCCCGACCCGAGCCCCCGCTGTAAAAACATCACTTGAAACACTTTGTTTCGTGGTGCTAAATTTGGAGACGGTTGACAGCTTCATATTTCATGGGCAGTATTTCACTGTGATGTTTGGACAGACATGCTGGCATACAGGTCCACGTGCTGCAGAGCTGTCTACGGGTAAAAAGATAAGCCATGCGGAATCAAATGCATGTCACTTCTCACACTAGCGAGCTCAAGGCTAAAGGCTACTTCACTTTTTATCAGAAAAGATGCTTTCAAGAAATCCAGCAGACAGCTGTGGAGTCATTTCTAGTGCTCACTTGTTGTACTGATGCTTCAGAAGAAGAACTTTACTTTTGTCGCTGAAAAAAAGCCTGAGAGGATGATCACAGCCTGAAACTGAAAATGTCACTTTACCTGTCCACCAGAGTGAACACTGTGAATACATTCCTGATGAGACTGTAAATGTGTGCCACTACCCACATACTGAAGTAATTATTGCATCCCTCTCCCTCTCTATGACAGCGACTTTTCACTGCCCCTTAGAGTGTACAGAGAAACAACCATAAAGATTTTTGCCTTCCAGTCAGGAACAAACAGGGCCTTCTGAGTCTTACAGGGCATTTCCTGCACTGGTCAGTTTAGTGTTTATCACTTTGGATGGAGGTGTGCCACCAGACAGGGATTTTGGCAGTTCAGCAACTTCTACAACTACAACGACTACCACTTTGCTCAACATCTGTGAGCTCAACTATTGACTGAACCGGAAACCTTACACTGAAGCTGTCAACGAAGCACGACTACTTAGCAGAGGTAAAACTAGTAACGAGTAACAACAGATGTGTAGTCTTTGCTATTGCTATTGTAATACTTTTCTAAGTGCGTGGGAGACTTGGTTGCAGAGATGCGCAGCAGGTCATAGCTACATGTTTCGGACATACACACTGCTGCCAAGCAAGCACACTATGGCTCATATAGTCACCATACGGACACAAATGTTGGGTTGCACGTAGACCTAAGCAGATGGGTCTGCATGGACTCTTGAACAGATGGCAAAATTTATATAACTTGAGCCATCATGTAATTGTGGACACAGAAAGTACAAAGCCTTGACTGTTCTCTGTTGCGGATACACACTCAGACAACTGCAGACAAGCACTGACGTATACTTGATATTGTTATACTTTTTTTGGGGTGAGGGAGTCCACTCAAATGAGTCAATTGTATACATGCACAGTAGGTCATATCAACATTTTTGACACATACACAATACAGCTGAGCATGCCAACTATTGCACTTATTGTGTCGTTGCACAAGGACCTGTGTTTAGGGGTCCCATTGGACTCTCACGGACTTAGTGAAATGTTTAAATTTGCGTAACACAGACCTTTGTATGCTTACCAATATGTAATGTGTAACACCAGCTGAACCTTTAGACACAGTGGAGGTTTGAACTAAATTCTCGCATCAACACGAACATATTCTTGCAACGACAACAATAACATGTCATTGAACAACTTTTATCAGGTCCACTGTTACAGTTAGCACATTTGCTTTTTAGGTAGCACTAAATACAGAGTGTAGTTGAAGCTGGTGGGAAGGTCATTAGCTATCAGGGTGCAAGAAGTTTTCAGATCCATCACTTGGTCAAAGTAGAAGTACCAGCATGGCAATGCAAAAATACAATGCAAAGCATGAACGTCCTACTTAAATAAAAGTCTTTGAGTATTACCAGCAAAATATAGTTCTATATTAAAGTAAAAGCACTGTTTTAGTCCCTCTGACTTATATATTATTATGTCTGACATCAATAGATTATTAATAGTTAAGCATCAATGTGTCAGCAGCCTGTTACTGTTAGCTGCTGCAGGTAGAGCTAATTTGAACCACTTTATATCCAGTTTTATATACCGGGACAACAGATAAATCTGAGGGCCCCAAACATGATTAATGAGAGTGGAGAGAAGAAAAACAAAGCTCTGACACTCAAATCTGTTTTCACTTTGTGGGCTTTTTCTCTCATCTTTGATTTATGGCGACATATTGGATCATTACATCATTCAACATTTATTGAAATGAAACCATGTGAGACATTTAGAGGGAAAAAAATCACTGTTTGTTGGAGCTGCTGACAACTCGCAGACATCTGTAGTGTGAGCCCAGCTACACACTGCAGCAAGGAAGTTATAAAGGTTGGAAATCTCTGGCTTAATCTTTAACAGTGTGTTGTATTTTTAAAGCTTGTTATATTAACCATCGTGTAAAATCTCTCCATCTTAGAAGTTGCAAAATATAGCTGTCAAATAAATGTAGTGGAGTAGAAGTATAAAGTAGCACAACATGGAAATACTCACATAAAGCACAACAAGCTTGAACTGTGCAGTACTTGATTAAATGTTAGTTACTTCTGCTACTATTAGTTTTGCAGAAATTTGGTCACAAAGCAAATATCTGAAGAAATTACAATTTTGACCTGATGGTGGTGCTTCAGTACATGAAAAGTGAGGTGATCACCAAAATGATTAGGGTTTATCTTCTGGTAATCCAGACAATATGGACCACATTTCACAGGAAATCATCCAAGCTGTGTTCAACTCAAACCCAAAGATGTTAACAACTGAAGGTGCTAGAGGAAAAGTCAGAAGATATTCAAAACATGTTGGATTCATCCTCAGGGGATCATGAACATGTCTTCAAAATTTTGTGCAAATCTGGTAGATGTCAAGCGTTTTTATTGAATAAGTGAATTATTCCTCAATGGAATTTGATTACCTATAGCAAATTTAACAGCAATGGTCATCAAAATGCTTAGTTGTCACCTACAAATGTCAACTACATTCTGATTGTTAAAACAGCAGGAGCTCACTACAGTCATTGGTATTCATAAACTAAGTACCATGAATGTATGCAAAGAATTTCATGGCCCCTCATCCAATCCTTTTTGAGATATTTCAGCCCAAAGTGGTACAACAGCAGATAGACAAACGTCCCGCAGAGCTGTGCTGCTGGTGCTGCTAAAAAAAAAAAGACCCAAATGAAACACAGAGACCATCTGCAGCTTGTACGCAATAATAAAACAATTCCAACAGAATGTGAATCAGACATTGCGATTGTAGCTTTGACCAAACTGTTTTACAAGAGATTATTTTTAGTTAAAGATGTCACATATGGAATGGCATGCTGCAACTAATAGTTTTGAGCATGCTTGGAAGTGAGAGAAATCTGGAAACCCCATATGTCTTATTATGTTGTTGATTGTTTGTGAGTATCAGGCTATTTTCATCTCTTTGTTTCCCGGCAACACTGACTGTGAACCCAGAGTGTCTCATGAGTGATATAAATTGGGATTCCTGGAATTGCAACACAAAAATGTAAAGTATTTGCATGTGCTATTCTCACTTCAACATCTGTGTTTCATAAATGACAGATGTGTTTCATAAATGACAGATTAAGCTGCCATAATTATCTAAATAGATCAGCGGATGGATTCATTGTGGCACATCAACTGCTGTGGTCCCTCATGGTTGGTGATTTTCGACATTCATTTCATGTGAAAGGGAAAGGGCTAGAGTCCCAGTTCGACCGTCGTGTTGCTGTTATTATCATGCAAAGCTTCACAGAAATATGCAGCATGATGTCATGTTGGCATGATTCCAGTGCAGGTATTTTGAAGTTGTATTAGCATAAACCAGCAGGGATCGAACACATCTGAAGTAAACATCAGTATTTGATGTCAGTTCCACTGACTTGAAGAAGCGCTTCTTTCTTCAATTGCCATTTTGCAATAATCCTGCAAAAGAAAGAAATCCACTGAAGAAGAGGCAGAAAAACCTCAAAAAGATGGAGACATAAGAGATTATGCATTTTGAACTCACTGCCTTAACTCTTCACTCCAAAATCATCCTAGAATGCAATGACTTTGGATTTTTCCCTGTG